GTAGCAAAAAAATCTACCGCGTGGTTCCAAAATCCAAATCTACAATAAATCGGCGTAGGTAATTGATCAAATCCCGCAGGTGGCATCAAGATATCCCTCACTGCTTTCTTCAAGCCGAAAACAAAAAAATCGGATCCAAAATTCAGTAACATTTACAAACATGTTTAAACAGGGAATTCCATCTTCACCACCTTACCCTCTACAAAGAGAAGACTAGAATTGTACCAATTCAGAAAACTAACGAAGACTTAAGCGAACCAAAATTCCTACATTTAAGATAAAACTAACCGTTACACATTGTCGAGAACACTTCAGACGTCTATACCTTATCCTTACCCTACTTCTTGCCTCTTCGTATAACCCTTTGATTCTGTCCTTTAGCTTATTATCTATTTTTCCATTCTCCATCATTTTTCCCTTTCTATTCTGTCAAACGCTGCTTGATTTAAAAATCAATGAAAAACGCTATCACTTTTCCCCCTTTTTTCCAGTTCATTTTCAACCGCAAGTCTGTGTAGTACATATATACAATCGATCGTTCCCCTCCATTTTCTGAATCCCATTTACGTTTCCTCTTCTTCTTTCTAGCGTTTCATTCAATACCATTGCAAATAATTTATACACAATGATTCCCTTATAATTTTGCATACAGTCATTATCACCTCTTTTGTGAATCGGCACAATTACTCCTTCCTTCTATTCCTCGAGTATTCCTTCTCCTTTCCATATCTTGTTCATTAGTTTTCTCAACTTCACGTTAATACTAGCTGTGGCGAAAATCCCTCCCCGTCGCTTTCCCATTCTTCAGTCTCTTTAATTGCTCTTTCCTTGATATCTCGTCTCCTTCTACCTTCTATATCAAGTCATCTTTCTTTTGATTTCCTTGTTGTACCTTAATAAAGGACCGCTTATGACATGGTCTTTGGGGGAAAGCATTTTTTTGGAAGAAATAGCACAAAAAGGTTGACGAGGATTAAGAGTGATGAGGAATTGTCATTGAGTGGAACTTCATAGTGGTGTACAATTCAATTTACGGCGGTATAAGTCACTCTATGTTTGCTGCACCATATATAACGTATTGTATTTTAGGCGTAATAATGAGACTTTCGATTGTAGGAAAATTCGCCCCGGAAACTTCTTTTCGGTCAAGTCGTCCGCGGAATATTTTCAAGGGCATTTACAAATTGTTGTAATTCCTAAAATACGCTAAAATATTGATGAATCTTCCTAGGGCTGAGAGATGTGCCCTTGTTACATCAGTTGTTTTAGTGAAAATTCATATACTAAGCCAAGGACCGTCGTCGGAAACTGCAGTATAAGAATATGAATAAGTATGCGAACGTCGACATGGTCCGCTTGAGACTCCATCATTAGTGTGCCTACCATTAGTATCCCTATGGAAGTTTGAATGTCATGCTTAATACAGTTTTCCCCTTCTTCACTGATTGATTGATTAATATACTTTTTATGTACAAAGTGCATGTTTTAAGCAATACAGGGATAATTTAAAACTGTCTATTAATAGCGAAACGAAAATCGGAATAAATGTAATTTTATTATAAGCAAAAAGCACCGACAGTCGTCCGTAATCTGATATGCGGCTTTTTAAATTATTCAAACTATATTTTTATAGGCTTCTGTTGTGAATAAATTTCGTTTTAAATGGCACACGTTTGGGAGATCATACCAATTTCTTCGGCATCGTTTTCCATTTTATTGACGGAAATACTACCGGTACTTGACTTGTTTACGTATATACTGTTAGGATAAGGTAATCAGGCTCAATGTGTAATTTAAAACCGCCACGCTACTAAAAACCGAAATAAATCAAAGGGTTAATTATGAAGACACCTTAGAGATCGGATTCTAGTTGTGGAAGTCAGTTAACAGGTTTTGTATTGTTGATAGAACGTTAAAAAGGTTCCTATTTAAATACAAAGAAATCGTTAGAGTTCAGATATGTAGTTTTTTGAAACATGCAATAAGTTGTGAAAGTATGTGTCTGGTGTAATGCTTTTGTGTAGGAATTTAACATGTGTATCCAGAATATGTAGCACGTATGTTCAAATAAGTTTTACAATGATGTGTTAAAGCGAGAAAATGTTTTACGAAGCTGTGAAATGATGGTTTACTACAGTATATACTGGGTACAAGATGAAATTTATATTACTTGTTACATATTTAATGTATACAACATTAACCTTTATCGATTCTATAAATACGCAGACACGCGTAAACAATTTTAAAATTATGTCTTCCTCTAATATTAAAGCGGGTTGCCTTTATTTAGTTAGGCCACCCTCGCCCACGTCAGCGCGCCGGCTACTTTTTCAAGTCTCCATATTAATTTATCTAACTAACCCAATTGTGGATGTTGCAGTTTACTTTAAACGTAAAAGTCTTGGACCCGTTTCGTGTTTAGATTCTCTCAAATTTACATAGACATTTACATAAACTGCAAAACGCATATCAAAAAACGTTAGAATAACAACGTTGTTATTCCATGCAGATTCATTAACTTAAACAAGGGAGCACTCTCGTTAAAAAATGCATTAAGCTTACATCACAGATCTTTTTTAATTAAAGGACAAAAGCTGTTAAAAATAACAAGTTAATACGTACCCCCCAACGTTTGGTAGATATTTTTATCGAAGCTTAGGTTACTCATGTTTTACAAATCTCGATTTGGTTTCTACATGCAGTTTTCAATATTTATTTAATATCGTACTCCTCCCACGTGCATCGCCGACGTTTGCTAATGATCATCTGCAATATGCATAAATAATAATCGAGTCGGAACACGACGTGTATAAACTTGTTCAGTGGAAAAAATGGTACACATAAAACGCGCCGATTATCCCCTTTTTTTCAAACGTGGACAATCGTAAATTTATCGGCGCCTTCTAGATCGTTAGGGATAGGAATTATCTTTACACGCTTTAGTGCTGTTGTGAGTGGTAAAGCAATTGCGATATCGCGAGCGACCGCAATGCAAATTTGGGGCGGTTGCACAAATTTTGGAGTTCAGTTGAATTACTTGCAGATTAAACCCCAAACTGAAGTTCTCTCTATCTTTCGCACCAATCGAAATTTTCTGCAAATTTGAATTTTGACCTAGGCCTAAAACAATATTTTTTTTACAATACTCGGATGGCGGAGCAGCCCGCTCTTGAAAGTTGAGAAGGAACTGAGGAAAGCTATGTAGATGAACACTGATGCAGCCAGTGTAGTAAAAATTAGACCACGTGGTCGTTGCAAAATAATCAGTTTGAAATCCAATGACACCAAATGAGCCGAAGCCAAGTTTACTAGGAAGTTAGTTGCTGAAACCAGAAACATGTTTCTCAAAACACTAATAGAGGATTTGTTTGAGTAATGTAAGAAAAAAATGTTTGGTACCGTTGATGTGTATAGGAACGAAACGGGGCGGGGCGTGGAATGTATTGCTGATCCGCGCAATTTCAATGAAATCGGGGTGCTAGATTGCCATTAAGCAGGAACCCCTACAAATGGGTAAAATGTATGTAGACTCGAAAGGAGGATTGTAGAATCTGTTGCCAATTCATTGCCATTCATTCATTGAAAAACTTCGTAGTTCGTATTACAAAAGTTAAACAAATGGATTGTCGGGTGCTGATTTTGACCCTACGTTTCAGGCAACAATCTGCGCCCTCGGGATTAGAACACACAGTTTAGTTCATTGGTATATAATGTACTCTTTTATTCTTTATTTATCGATGAAAGTGATAACGTAATGAACGAACGGAGAATAATTAATTATTAAATTGTTTAAAAAAACTATCTCTAAAAAAGTAAATCAGTATACTAGTATTCTTTGTTAAATCACATGATATCATTGAAAAATCTTTCGGCATAGCCTTACAATCCTTAATGAGATCTTTTTTACGTTTTGGTATAAATAACGGGTAAAACAATAACTTCTCTTAAACATTTTTCCAGGAATTTATTGTTTCAATTTTATTAAAAATCAGTAACGCTTTCGCTGAGCTTTGAACCCAGAACCATTGTAACCCAAATTAGGATCCCGAACTGCAACCCGATTGAGCTAAACAATTTTGTTTCATTAAAAACCATTTCGAAAACCGTTTAAGAAAAATTCTTGGAAACTTTTTTGAAAAAATTGTAAGAATTTTCTTCAAAGTCTTGCTTAACACCGTTTTAGGAACCCTTTTCGAAAGACTTTCTTAATTTTTTTAAGTAAAAATATGTACATACAACACCCAAAGCACTAAGCAATTTGTTAAAGGTAATCAATTTACAATTTAGTTCTACTAAGAAAATTATGGGTATACGAAATTAGATGGAATTTTTAACAAGCAAAAATTGAATTTCAATTTTTCAATTAAATCCATTCGAACTTCAGTATAGTTCAAAAGCAGATTCGCTAACACCGTTCACATAATCTTCCCTACTCGCAATACTTACTAATATTTCAAATGTGCACAGTGTGCCGCTTAAAAATACGCAATACTTCAAAATATTTAAAGTGTACACATTGTAATTTTGCAACATATTTTGAAACGACATCTCTTAAGACAGAAGTGTTCAAAGGATTTAAAATGTGCAGAGTGATAATTATACTACCTATACCAGACGAATTCATATTCTATTCAGTTGGCACAATTTTTCAAATTTTGGTAGTATTATTTATACAAGGTGTCCCAAAAGCATTCCACGGCCCCTAACTTAAATATTCGAAATGGTACCCCGAAAGTGGACTGATTGATCAAAACAAGCAGAGGTAGTGATGGGCCATCTCCTTCCTTCTTTCCTTCTTTCTTTCTTCCATGAGAGGCCTTGTATTTAAATCGATTTTTATATTCTATTATCTTTCTTCGTTTTTGAGATAAAGGCTGATGCATTTTAAGGCTTGCTTCTGAATACTGGCCCAAAAGAAATCAGAAATAACAACAGGGTCCTTAGATTAGAAGTGAATATTAAATATATTATTTTAAAAACATCCTTTTCTTTCTTTCCAGGAGGTAAATTTAATCGACAAAGAGGTTACGTTGAGGAGCGGCGGTGAATTAGCCTGTTGGCGAATCTATCTAGGGGTAAGTTTACTTAACGGTGATCCAAATTTTGATTTGCTTAAGCAAACTTTTGCATCGGTTTTATTTTTAATTTAGACGTAGTGCCTAAATATGTTTAATCTACCATACAAGTTCTACGAATCTATAAGCGTAACCATTTCTGTCGTCCGGTCAAAAATGATTTTTGTACGGTGTAGTTTCATGTTGGAGCCATCCTCCAAATGTTGTTAATATCAAAATTTCGTTTACGTCTTGACAAAATTACACTAGACGGGAAACAAGTTGCAGCTTTTAATCGAATACATTATTCGAAATGAGCAGGTTTGTGAGTGTGTAAAATAAAAATGCGTGGCAATTTGTGCTAAGGGTTAATTATATCCAGTTGGGAAGTACATAAAATAAAAGGCACGAGAATGCCAATATCTTTTTGTTAAATTAACTAACGAATAACTCTGAAACAATAACCAGAACATATAAGCGTACCAGTTTGCAAGTCACTTTTTCCCCATACTTTAGATGAATTCGCCGACAAAATTAATAACAGTCATTACATTTATGTCATGTAATATTTTTTCAGGGGAATGTCTCGTAGCTCGCTTTAATAATGTAATAACGTTTCAATAAAAAGTTAAGGGCTTTGTTCTTAAATGATGATCAACATTTTTTTGTGTGGAAGAGGTTGCTTTATTGAATATTATATCGCATTCTCATTTCAATGATCAAAAAAAGAAATATTTTTCTATTAAAATTTACGCATTCTGTACATAGAACGTAAAAGATTTCCGCTATTCGAGATGGTTTAATTTCCCTCGAGATTAAAATTTCATCGTCCACCGTTCAATAAAACCCCATTCGGCGGTTGTAATAAGTTGAATAAATAACCAAAAAACTTCAAATTACTGGAGTCTATTTTTACCCCTTTCGCGTGATAGGGGAATCATTGCGTGTTCTGTGGTTAATTCATATTTCATAATGTGATACCAACCTTGATTAGAACAGACGATCCTAAGAAAAAATGCCAATATCACCGTGAGTGACAGACATGGGTTCATCGACGGTGCCATGGTGATGTAGGGTTGGGGCTGCACTCCGGGGGACGCAACGCTAGGGTGCAAACATCACAGCACTCTCAACACGCACTTTATATACACCCACATTTCACATCTTTCTTTCGGTTTTCGTTAAAGTAATCTGTAACAAACAAATCTTATTAGAAACGTTTCTCGATACGTTTATTTACACTACGTAATAAATAAATAAATAGTTCTTTTCAAGGAAACACATTATCTATCCCAATATAAAAATAATTGCAGATTTAATGCTAGGTATATGGGGAATTTTGATGGTAACGCATAATATACTGTAGTGCACAGTAATAAAACAAAGGCAGAACAATAATCAACCTATGAGCTAGAGACGCTAAAAACAGTTCTTAAATAAAACTACGTGGTTGATCAATAAGTAATTTTTTAAGAAAATTAACAGAATTGTTTCGCATCGCATTAACAGCGTAATTGGCATTTTCTCCATGGAGTACCGTACGCTTCTTCTAATAAAACATTAACCTACTTACTTGATTAAAACGCCTTTCGATTGGGGATGCACAGTTATAGTCAAGGAATTATATTTGCAAAATGGGGGGAAAGAGTTCTTGTTTGGCGCTAAAGCGAACCCTCCTAGTATCATGGCATTACTCATTTTTATTAAACTAAACCGTGATAGAATTCGTCTTTTTTGCGTTTTTTATTTCTGTAGGGCTTTGTTTTTTTTTCAATTTAAACAACCAATTAACGATTAAATATATCCGTCTGCGTTAATAATTCATACATTTTGTCATTAATTAAGAAATGAAGAGGGTCATTCCGGAATATTTGTAAGGGATTCGCGTTCAAGCAAGCGAAGCGACCACTGTGGGTACATAAAAAATGTGTAATTGATTCGCGTTTGAGTGACGGAAGTATTCAACTGTGTCACTCTGTGTCTTGTTTTAACATTCGGGTCTTGGTGCCAACAGTAAGTAAGCGAAGTTCACAGGGAGATATTTTCGGATAAAATTTGTTTCCGTTTTGGAAACGGCGCCACTGTGATTTATACGTATTCTGAGCCGGAAATCAAAATGCGAGTTTGTGCACCTACAGATAAATGACAAAGATTTCAGAGGATGATTCTTGTACTTCAGTCTCTGAAGATTTAATTATTTGCAGTTTTTCCATTTCTTATTTTTCATTTTCCCCAATTCCCTTGGATTTCAAGGCACGAAAGCCCATTTTGGTCTTGGGTAAAAAATGTTTTAGGTACGAGCAAATGTGCTCTTCAGGTTCAGAACGTTGCTGTAAATTTTTTAATGCATTAGGGGTTGATTTCACTGCGTGAATTCCATTACAAAGCATAAAACCCCACTGTTGTATCACGTTGGAGTTTAGGTAAGAGTGAATGTGCCCTGTCAAGTGAGACCTTTACCATGAATTTTTAAATGCGTTAGGGGTTGATTTCACTCCGCGAACCGCATTGTAAGACCTCCAATTACTCTCGTTGGAGTAAGTGACTTTTGTAGCCAAGAATGAATGTGCCCTTTCGATTCAGACGTTTGCAATGAATTTTTAAATGATTAGGGACTGATTTCTCCCCGTGAATCCCATTGTAAGTCGATGGAACCCAACGTTATTTTTTAGTAAGCGATTTTTTAGCAAAGTGCTAAATTCATTCGGCTATTTTGACAGAGGTAGAGAATTTGAGTTTTCCCCAATGCACGAAAATACAGAAACAGATACTAAATTTTAAGTTTTCTCAAAAATAGATTTTCATTTGTTGACTCGTGCGATTAATTTTCACTTAAAGCATAGGCATTTTCGACCTAGAGGGTTGCGTTCGGTTCCGCCGCACTCTTTGCTTTAAAATGAATTGGGCCTTAAAAGGTTTCCATGAAACATTCCGAGCAATACGCACCAATCAGTGATTGATTTAAAATGCGTAAAAGCGAAAGTGTACTGAAATAGGATTTTGACACAGCAAAACTCGGCTTTCAGCCGATAAGTGCATGGAAGTTACACGAAAGCGAAATTCTCGATAAGCCAGACTAGCACACAGTATTCGGAAAAGGTAAATATAAAACACACACAAGTACTAGTAGTAAAACTGAAAATTGTACTAGGAAAATAAAGAAGTAACCGCTTTGTACATAATCGAACATAAAATTCGTTTGAAATTTATGATTATGTTTTCCTTTCAATTTTATTAGTATTTTTAGAAAATCTTTGTAGTACATGTAAAACGACATAAACCGGCGCTAAAAATATAAAATCCACAAAAAATTTATTACATCCAGATACTATACGGTGTATATGTAAATTTTTTACTAAATTTATACTGATTAAACTCACATTATGATTTATAACGCGATATAAAGGCGTTAAAGCGTTTGATTTTTTTCATATAAAAAACCTTTTAATAGAAAAATTTAACTTTCCCCACTTTCTTCTTTAAATTAAGGAAATGTGCAGGAGAATTTTAATTTCCTTCTGATATAGCATAAGTGGCATTCTTGATCTTGACGTTTAAATGCAATTTCCACTCTGCGCCCAATTACTAAATTTATGTTTATGTAATTACAACAGGGAATTCCATTGTAATCTCGTTTCAATCAACAAATCAATTAAAATTTGCAATTCCCTCACAATCCGAACCCAATATGCGTGCGTACCTGCTCGGTTTGGGGTATATTTGTCTAGGGTGGTAGTTGGTTATTTTGAAGAGGAAGACGTCTGGTCTACATTAAAATGCACTTAACTGATACAAGCTACTAAAAGGCTTTCTGTTCTTGGACATAAATTTATTATGCGTCTCCGAAATGGCCGACAAGGTTTTCGGTCATGCATTTTTCACTGGTGACTTTCGCATTAGTCAACTTATTGTAATTACTAAGTCTCGGAAAGTTACAATATATTCGCGACGCGTTTTGAAAAATCTTTCGATATCCATTAACCGCTTACAAGATGTGCACTGCATGGAATATCGCCGTCTTAATTCAAAGAAATCATATGTATACCATCACAGTTTCCTGTTTTCTCTCACCGACTTGCAAATTAAGAATTTATTCATCACATGCTTTGAATTAAATTTCAATTTATAATTTGCCTGTTTTTTATTGGTAGATCGGGAGACTTTAATTAAGTTATTTAACTCCAGTGGTGCGGCGAATATCGCGACGATGACAACCAATATTAGAATGTTACATCGAGTCACGACCCGAAGATCAAAGTTGTCAGAGTTTAACATAATTATCATTCGTATACCATTGTGACCGATCGCCTAAGTAATGAACTTTTTGATTCGGTATTTTATGCAAATTGATATTTGGTAACACCTTTGAATTGATTTCGTTTAACAATGCGAATGGTTAGAGCAGAAAATCGTGATTATTACATACTTGGAGTGGACAAAGTCGTCTTTGATAGATTAAGGTAGATTATTGTTGAGTGCACTTTAAAATCGTAATGGATGAAGAGATTTTAATTACGTCAACGTCTTAAAACGTATCTACATTCGCTTCAAAAGGTTACCTTATAGGCGAACTGGTTGAGATGCCCGTTACTTTATATAAAATTAAACTGATCAAGTTGCTCCAAGTCAAAAAACTCTCCACCCCTACAACTTAGCCTTTAGATTTCAGGCATATGTACGCATGCTATGGACTTTTGTCTTGTTTGTGTATAAGAAGAAAAATTTAAACTAAAAAGAACTGAATGGCCGTTTTTTGTAACACAATGGCGTAATCCGTTTCTATTTGTTTGAGGTTAATCCCTTAATGCTAAACTCTAATCATTATTAGATAAATAGGTAGATTTCTTTCCGCCATTTTGTTCCAATATGGCGGAAATGGCTGATTCACGACCTTGACCGAGATATTTATGACTTACGCCAACCTTTAAAGTTTGGTCGGTTCATAATTACGAAAATTAGAGTGTTTCTTGAAAGTGATTATATACAAACCTATAAATATACTGGTACTATATTACAATAGGTAGATAGATAGAAGTCTACCTAATAGACCTCGGTAGGTTATATGGTTTTTTTTATTAGCTGTGGGATCATCCATTCCTTTCCCGTTTTGAAATGAAAATACTTGGATTTTCCCCTAATAAAAAAATCCATGGGATATACGCATCGTTCATCTGTCTTTTAATTCCAGTACCTTTCCTTTGCTTGGTCTTCGCCCTACTGGAGGCTTGTAAAATTATTATTTTTTCTTGCCTCTGCTAAATTAATTACTAGGACATTTTTATAGCGCTCTCTTAAATTAAATCTTTTAAACTGCTTATATTTTCCTTGCTAAATTTGGTTATAATTAGTAAATTTTTTAAATATAAACAAAAGTTCTTCAAATTACAAAAAAAAATAACATTTATTAAGTGGTGCGAGTATTTATAAAAGATCTCAAAAAGTGCAGTCCCTAGTCTTATGGCGTGTGATAGGGAGTGTTCACTGAAGAATTAAATTTAAAGAATAGAAATGGGACTTAAGTTGTCAATTGGAAAGTTTAATTCCATGAAATGTTGCATTATATTAAAAAAAATTTCCGCACCGCCCTTGCCTGGGGGTACTCGCTACTCACGGTTCGTTTTAGCACCCATATTCTACGTTACTCACACCATTTGTGTGATTACAAAAATATTTCTGTTCTTAAATCTTGTCCGCTCCAAATTAAATTTTATTGTAAGCATTTACAGTCTCTTTATATCACAGATATTACTTTAACCTACGTCAATTAAATACAATCCTTTCTTTCTTTTGGGGGGACATATTAAACTTGTCTAATTGAACATATTGGACCGTCATCAGAAAGATAGGGTGTCTTGTGGGTGGTACGGTTCTCGTTGTTTCGGTTCCTAGCTCGGTTCCCGTTTTCCTTTGGTGGTGGATTCTTTGACCAACATTTTCCAGAAATCCCTAGCTTCTCCGTAGTCGGGTCCCGCGGTTGCGAAAGGGTGTGCGACATTTACCCTTACTGGTGGTAGATTTTCCTTTAAATGTTGCGCCGTGCTGTGGTTGTATCGCAGAAAGCGTATGCAGCTTCTGACTTCCCGGCGGACCTGATTTCTTTCTCGCAGTATCCAGTATTTTCGTCGCACCAATGCCAATGTGATTGGGTTCCTGCCATGAAGGATTTGTTGGAGAAATGATTAGGGGGTGTC